GGGGGGCCTTCTGGCTTCTTGTTTATAGGAAGAGAGACCGAACGTCACAAGATGATGAGAAAATTCACTTATCATCCCTTTCTAAAGGCAACCATAACAAGGCCCCTGTTATTTAATAGGAGCATTCTAAGAACCCAGTTCTCAACTGTACTGTACATTTAATGGACATACTAAAGCAGAGCAGCAACCAGATCCATGTCTTATGAAATATCCATTCCAACCTTTGGGGAACTTTTATGACAGAGGACATAATGTTACATTTTTAGTATAGTTAGGTCCCAAGTGGATTATCTGCTTTGTAGATTATACAGAGCATAATATAAATCCCAGCCAGCTCCCCCTCTTTACCCATTGAGCTCTTTGGCTGAGTTTTCCTTGCTGCCTAATCAGGGCATGTTTTGTTTTTGTTTTTGTTTTTTTTTTAAAGATTTTTTTATTTTTATTTTTTTTATTTTTTCCTTTTTCTCCCCAAAGCCCCCCGGTATATAGTTGTATCTTCTTTGTTGTGGGTCCTTCTAGTTGTGGCATGTGGGACGCTGCCTCAGCGTGGTTTGATAAGCAGTGTCATGTCCGCGCCCAGGATTCGAACCAATGAAACACTGGGCCGCCTGCAGCGGAGCGCGCGAACTTAACCGCTGGGCCACGGAGCCAGCCCCCAGGGCATGTTTTAAAAACTAAAAACCTTTCTGTATTTATCAAAGCAAAATATAAGATAAATATATTGTACAGATAATAAGAAGCATCGCAAAACAAAACAAAAATTCAGAATTCTTTTGAATTTCTTTCAATTAATAATGACTTAGAGTTGATTAATCTTCAACATTTTCCATTTAGGGCAATTTACTAAAGGAATATAATTTTAAAAAAATGTCTTCCAGAATAATTCAGATTTTTCAAACTATTATACCTGTTCCATGGTCTGATTTATAGTAGAGTTAAAGAATTTACAATCTTCAAGTAGCTTTGTTTTCAAGTTTCACCACTTATGAGGGTTTATCTCAGATGAGACAACAGCACCTTCTTGACCAGTGATTACAATATACAAAATGGCAAACAGTCCAAGTAAAAATATATTATTAGTAAGAATTTTTACCCTCCATAATTATTACCAATTCAAATATTTTGCATATCCCAATTAGGTCTAGAAGTGGTTGTTACGGTTTATTCCTCAAGAGGGGAGCGAATCAAGTCCTCATCAATTCATACTTCTTTATACAAAGATATAACTATGAAAAGTTTGTGAAAACTAAGAACTGAGAGTTTGGTAAATATCAGTCAATAGAAGATTATTCCATACCGAGTCCAAGCACTCATTTGATCATTCAACTCAAAAGGTAGACTTAGGTAAGTAATTTAGTGTCTAACCACATTAAGATGTATGAAATGATACACAACTACAACTTCAAGTGGGAAAACTGATTTCAGAAATAATAGAAATAGCACGACATATTTTCAAAAGGAGAAGTGAAAAGAAATAATTTCTTGAATATAATAGGTTGTGAGAATAACTTATTAGGTTAGAATTTGAGGTGAAATATGATTTAACAATATAACTCCAAAGAAGGCTTAATAAAATTTTCAGGGATGGACATACAAAAAAATGTAAAGATCACAAAAAAGGAAAACAAGTAAACAAAAACAACATACGAGAAACAGAGGAGGAGTTAGTAAAGTAAAAACTGAAATGTCAGGCCAGTTCTCCCATAGCATGCCCCAACGAGAACTTAGCGGATATGTGCCAGAAGGTCCAGCGCAGTACTACCTAGTGCACGCAAGAACTGTCCTGCTGGCTGCAAGCCTCAGCTAGCAGGTGCCTACTGTCCTCCCCTCTGTGCTTGCTTTCAGCAAATTCATATGCTGAGCTGACTGAACCCTTATCTTCTTCCATCTGGAAGGACAGAAAAGCAACAAGTCTCAGATTACAGAACAATACTCTCACTGGTATATAGGGTTAGAATCAAAACAGCAAGTTGGGGCCCACAATCTGTGAGGCACAAATGAATGTTTGCACAACACCACATTCATTTACTGTCACAAAAGAGAGCCAACAGCAGCTTCTTAAGGGTTATACAACAAAGCACACAAAACAAAGCCATGATATTCCACTGCAAAAAGTTAAATTAAAATCAGGTTTTCTTCACTAAAATTCAATTTCTTCTATTAAATTCCTTGCCATCAAGATGTAGGGTTCCTGTTGCAAAGGTATGTCCCATTTCACACTTCTCAGGTCCCCTTTTCAGCAGACTTCTCTATCCTAACTGGACTTCAGGGGAGTAGAAGGGTCAATCACTTGGCCTTTCAAATGTCAGACAGTGGGTAAGGGGGTGCTGGATTGACTTGATTTATTTAACAAAATTAATTTAACCCTTAATTTGAAATATGTTTTTTTAATGAGAGTTTAATTTATACAAATTTCCATTATTTGCTTTTTCTATATTTGTATTAGAGACCTTCTAAGGAGTATGTAGTTCATAGCCATACTAATTTTAACCTTTCTTAAACTATAAAAAATGTCCTCAACGAATAAAAACATGTTTTTCCTCATTTCTATGTGTTTTCTCAGTTTTAGGACTACTAATTATTTCTATGAAAAAAATGCTATAGTGAATTTCTTACATATATAGAAAATAAAGTAGAATTCCTTGGTTTCAAAACTACAATAAGTTTATGTACAGATAGTTTATTATTACAGCTTTGCCTATAATACAGGGAAGGGGAAATACTCAAAAGAAGTTTTCTTTTATTCAAAAGAATGTTGTTAATAGTTTTATATTAATGGTTCTTAAGAAATACTAACCTGATGAAAGATGTGAAAGGTCTATTTGGTATCTGCACAATTTTCCTGTCACAACAGTAAACAAGCTACTGTGGATCACACCCAGGAATACTGTTCAATGCAGTTTAAAAACAAGATGCATTCAAAATTCACAGCATGTATCAGCAGACAGATGCAGGCGGGCACTTGTTCTTTGTGCAGCTATGAGCAAACGCCCACTCAGTGGTCACTCACTGCTCATTTAAGCACTGTTATTTCTGCCTGGCCTTTGACTAAGCATAGTATTTCTTCTTTTTGGTTTTCTATGATGCTTATAGTAAGTAAATAGTCCACAGTACGTAAAATGATCATTTGATAGGTGAAGAACGTGGAGGCTCAGAGAGGTAAACTAATTAGGTTAGGACATACAGGGAGCAGTGCCATGGGCAGCTCTAGCATTCGGGCCAACTGTCTCCCCAACAGGGCTCTTCTCCTTTTGTTATACAACCTGATTGAAGAGCGGCTTGCAGCAAAGGCAACCTGACCAATATACTCTGCTCTCATTGTGTTCTTTCACAGATGACCATGAAGTTTACTACTTTATTACATTATTACGGAGTCTGGGATCTCTTTAATTTATGATCTCCTTATTTCATTCTTTTTTAGTCTGTTATTGCTCAAAAAATGTGGCTTGATTTAAGCCAACGTATGTGAAAATATGACTTCATAAAAATATTAAGACTATTCACAATATGAAAGTTATCTTCACTTGACAAGAGTTTGCCGGACTGTTCTTTCAAATAATGAGCTCTCCTACTGCCTTAGAGATAAATGATTAGATGTTCAAAAATGTGATAAACATCCACTGTTTTCAGAAAGGCACAGATAAAATGTGATATACATATTTGGCTCAACCAAAGGTGAAAGTAAATCTTCAAATTGTTTTGACTTTAGTTCTTGTTTTAAACATGAAATTTAGTTGACTACCATTTGTTTGTTGTATGTGTGTATGTACTTATTTATTTATTAATGAGGACGACTGGGCCTGAGCTAACATTTGTGCCAATCTTGCTTTATTTTGTATGAGGGACGCCAACTACAATATGACTTGATGAGCAGTGTGTAGGTTCATGCCTGGGATCCGAACCTGTGAACCCCAGGCTGCCGAAAAGGAGCACAAAAACTTAACCACTACATTACTGGGCCACTCCTGACTACCACTTGTTTTAAACATGAAATCTAGTTGACTACCACTTAAACACCCATTTGTATATTCATCTACAATTATTACACCTTTGTAATTCAAAGTAGAATATTTCAAAGTAAAATATTAGCTTGAAGCTATAATAATAATTAAAATGGAAAGGTCTGGTAAAACTTTACAACAGCTCAAAATTATGAACTCATAGAGTTACATAAGAGGTCATTTAAGCAGTGTTTTGTCAAAGTCATTCATCTGATCAAGTGAACACAGACAGATCAGAAACCTTGAGAATAAAAAAGAATTTAAAAAATATATATGATTAAGAATTCACAAGATACTGACAGGGTGAGAAATTGAAGAGTGCCAAAACTAAAAAAATTTAGTTATACTACTTTCCCTTTTCAAATCAGACTGGAGATGAAGTTAATACATAGTTTTGGTAACGTAATACCAAAAGTCCTAGGATTTAAGCTTTCATTCTCTTTCATCAAAAGACACTACTGGTTATTTTTTGTGAAAGCTGACAGAATGGATTTGTCTGTGGAGATAAAGGTCTATATAAAAGATACAAAATATATTTTTCAATTTATAGACGTACTAAACAATAGCAAGGATGTGAAATGCTTCAGTAGCCGCTACAGTGCACAAAGACAAATACGCACATCTATTTACAATACAGAGTAAGGCAAGATAAAAAATGGGCTACTCTCACTTGCAAGTAACTGAAACTTAAAACTAAATTTTACGATGAATTTCTGTAGCTTAAATTACTCAACATGCAGGAGCATTCTTAAATATGATAACATGACAAGCAGAAGCATTAGAATTGTGCTAGAAAGATAGGTACGGTATAAAATATATAACAAGGTACAGATCTCTGTCTTGTTATCATGCTGAATTTTCTTCTCGAAGAAGAAATGAATATATGTTTTAGGTTTTAACATATATATTAATAAAGGTCAAATTAGACAGCTGTGCTAACAAAATTGCCCCACTCATAATTCATGCCTCTGCTCATCTTTTGAATACTGTTTAGCTGACCTTTAGCATGCAGAAGAGTTAATGAGGTTCTACTCCTCCTACTCTACCTAATTTTGCTCAGCTGATTCCTTGCCCTCGACAATGGCTGCAGTGCGATGAACTCGTCACTTAAAGCAACTGTGTTGGAGTACATCTATAAGTGGACAGAAAAGGGATGGGACATACAAGTCAGTGGGCTGTATTCATCACCTAAGAGACAGAAACAGGACAAGCTTTGTAAAGACATCTGTTCCTACAACAGCAGGAAACATCATATACATATACATGACTGACATTTGTAGAGCTGCGGGCTTTGCCATTAAAAGTATTCTTCACTCTTAATATCATATTGTCATTCTGCAGAAAAACAAAGCTTAAAATAAATGCTGACAACTCTTCTTTTGATAAGATTTTTCTTGCTACTTTTGGTAAACAATGAAGTAGCTGACAATTTTCTAAATGTTTCTTTATCATTTGAAATCAGAAGTGACAGTATAGGCTGAAATAATAAAGATTACTTCCTGTAGCAAAGGAATAACGTCACATATAGGCTTTGAATGTCCATATACTGTTTCAGCAAAAAAACACAAAAATCCAGCAGGCTAGAAGATCCCTGAGTGGAAGGAGGGATTTTCTCTTTAGATAAGACCACAGGGGAACATCTGGTCAAGTCATTTAAAGGTGAATTTAGTGGGGCAAAAGGGGAGATTATATTGGCTTTCACATACAGATAAAATGATTGACTTACCACACACTCCATTTTTAATCAATTTTAACCTATGGTAAAAGAACCAAAATATACATAAAGTACTTTTAACTTTATCTTGTCTAAGGGTCCACCTTAAGGTACCAAATATTTCCTACGTAGTCCTTTAAAAAAGAGGCTACAGAAAAGGTAACAAGAACTAATTGTATCACCTTTTATTATCATTAAGAAATCTCTACAAAAATGCATCATAAGTTTGCAAATGCTCTGCCTAATGTAGAATTTCTAAGGATAAATGTAAATAAATCTGATTATTTACTTTTATAAAGAGTTAACTTTTAAAGTGATGTCATTACTATATTTTGGTGAAATATAATTTTATATAGGCCAAGAGGGAGAGACACAGGTGTTCTCCATACAATGGATTAAACATAGTACTCTTTTACTGTAAGTATTTATCTCTGAAGATCAAAAAAACAGATAGGCAGACCTTTTTTTGATATATATTTAAGTAATATATTGCAGAGTAGAAAAGTTTGTCCATACTAATATAAATATAAGCATAGGCAGAAAGAGTAATCAGATTATGCAAATCTTTTCAAGCCCACGGGAGATCAGTATGACAGAGCAACATCCTCATTGTCCTTATAATTATGTTTTTCCTGAGGACTTACTACATACAGGCCCAGGGTTAGGTGCTTTATATTTGTTATCTCTACCAGTCACGTAAGGTAGTAATGATTTTACAGAGAAGGAAATTGAGGTTTAGGGAAGTGACTTGATTAAGGACATACATTTCATAAATGGTTAAAACAGTATTTGCATTAAGTTTTTCAGGCTTCAGAGGCCTATGCTGCTTCAATGGTGTTAAAATGCGTATTGGCTAGGATTGAGTTACCAAAGCAAATAAACCTTAAAGAAATGTTGATATGATCAACTGAAATTAAAACGAATACACTGTTTAGGAAGCCTAACTCAAATCACTAAATACTTAGGGAACATATTCTATTTGTAGAACATGCAACTAAAATTTCAAAATTTAAATAAAATGTGCTTCCCATGTAGCAAATATGAGGAAAAAATCTCAACCTAGGCAGAACTAAATGATTAATAAACTCAGTTTTTACCAGGGCATAAAAGTCGATTAGAACGTATTCTTGAGGACAGGTATTCAATGCTATGCTATGCTATAGTTAATAGGACAAATTAAGATAGATTTCTAGCTCATGTCCAGGTCAAATATATAAAAAAGGCACATTCAACTAAACAGCTATCATTTCTTGAGCATCTAGTATGTGTTTGAACATTATTTCATTTAAATCTCATTATGAAGGCACAAAATAGACATTTCTATCATAATTTTATCCATGTGGAAACTGAGACGTAAAGTTACAAGCTACCCAGTGGTAGAACTAAGTTTTAGACTGACAATTATCAGGCCCTAAGAGATATATTCTTAAAAACTATGTAACATACTGCTAATATTTGCTGTACTTCAATATTTATTAATGTGTTTAGTGAGAATATATTTTATAAAAATCCATTCTGTGAAAATTATTTAACCAACTTATTTCATACTCTTTTATTGAAAACAATATAACCTGAAAAAGTATTACTCTGATTCTAATGTTTCTAAAGACATGGATATATATCCCAATTATATATATAGCTGATAGAATACTGTGATAATATTATTTAAAACATATTTACTGTTATAATAGGGACATAACTTGATAGTTTTATATTAAAAATCTGCAGTTCTGCTAATAACACAATGTAAGTAAAAAAATTATAATTTGTCAGCAGTCATAAAATTAGTAGAAACAATAAGAAACAACTTAAAAAATATCACATTTAACAATTTTATATTGTAAAATACTTGATACAGGAATGGATAATTTCCTATTTTCTGAGATAAGTAAATTACAGTGACAGCTATGCATCTTTAAAGATCCCTAAATAAAAAGATATTGTATATAAAAAGTGGTTACCTGTGCCTTTTCAGTATTTGTAGGATGGAGCAGTCGGTCAAATACTTTCTTCACAATATCAAGAAATAGACAAGTAACAACCATGAGGATTATGGCAAACCAAGCAGAACCACTTGATAGGAGCTGAATAAATACAAAGTACATATTTTGGGAGCTCAAAAATGGCCTGCAAAGAAAAACATGGGCTTAATAAAAGTAGAAACTGACAAAACAGTTTCTTAATCAAGACATCATGTGAACTCACTATATTTGAACATTACCATTTCTAAGAATACTCCAGAAAAATGTTCAAGGTTTGGAATCAGTATAATTTTGTGAAGTTAATAACTAATAAAACAAAACAGACTTTATTGTTAAAAATAAAATCCAATTTAATCACTTTCAATGACAACCACAGTTTTTATTATTAGGAAAGTGGCAAGTAGTTGACTAAATAACTCTATCTTAGTGGTAATACAGACCTAAGAGACCAAGAAAAGCAAGAAAAAGTATGTAACAAAATATTTTCTACTAAGCAAGTAAAAGCCTGATTACGCAAATCGTAGGTTGAAAAGCTCTACCTAAAGCCTTTTCTCTCTAAATGTATTTTAAAATAAATGTATTCACAAATACTAGTTCTACATAGTAGTAGGTATTGTCAGGGCACTTTTTGGGTTTTTGTATCTATCATTTCAAAAGAATATGGGGAAACACAAAAAGAAAGGTAGAGATAAAGTGGAGTGAAAACAAACACGACAAATTATATTCACGAGTATCCTTTTATGATCTTAAACGGAAATTAATATTTAGCTAATCCAAGTTTTTTTGCCTGCCTTCTGTAATTTTTTTGCCTGATACAGGAATTAAAGGCACAGCAGGTAAATGTAATATAAATTCTCCAAATGAGAGACTTTAGTTGTCTATCACTTACCAAAGAATCTTAGGAGAGGTATTAATTTTTAATCTATCATAGTAGCTGAATATCTGATTTTACCAATGAAGATAAAGTATACTATTTATTTTTGAGAGAGAAGTTAATTCATTCATGAAAATTTAATGGTTCTATGTGATTTATTTTATTACATATATTAATAAATAATTTAGAGGTAGTATGGCTGGTGTAAAGAACATTAATTGTGGAGTAAAACAATTAGGGTTTAAATCCTAGCTTTGTTACGTTTTAATCTTTGTGACTTTGGGGCTCAGTTTCCATACAGAAAAAATGGGGATAGTAAGATTATTGTGATGAATCAACGTAGTATCTTAGGTAAGACACCTAGAACATAGTAGGTATTTAGTAACTCTTAGTTTCTTTTTTCTCCTTACTAGTAAGATCAACTGAAAGAAGTAAATTCATCATCAAGATAGAGTCTCAACTATTCTGAGCAGAATTTGTTCATTATATAATCTATCACAATAAATTTTTATTACAGTAGAATCAATATAATTAAAATACAATATAGTCACTCACCAGAGAATCCCTCCATAAAACAAAGAAAATACAAAATAGAATATAATAGATCCCCAGGTAACAAGATGGTTGACCCAAGTCCAAAAATGAGTTTCCAAAGCCATCTGAAAAAAAAAAAATTAAAAAATTCTTAATATAAAATAATACATCTTTAACTTCAGATAAAACTCAAGAATAAAATGTATTAATTAAAAGTAACTAAAGTTCCTACGGCAAAGTTCCTCAGAAGATAAATATTAATGAATTCTAGTATGAAATTGAACAATTTCAAGTTTACAATATTTTTCTTCTGTGAGAAAGCAGCATTGAAATTCCATGAGTACTTTATTCTCAACTCCAAGGCCTAAAACAACTAGTGTTGTCTTGCATTACATACAGACAAGCAAAATTTCAGAGATGAGTATTGTGGGGCTAACCTTTATGTGACCATAAAAATCAGCTGAGGCTTTCCAAAACAATGAACTTAAAAAAGGCTTTTTTGACAAAAATTAAAATTATTAAAATAGCAATCAGTGAAACTATTCATGAGTGAAAAGGGGAAAAATATCTATTTATGGTTAAAGAAATGAAGAAAATTAACTACAAATTATACAGACACAAAATGTGTCCAATGTTCCTAATTTCTGTACCATACCTTTACTGTGACTGTAATAACCATGACTGTGAAGACTAAGGTGCCAAATGTCCAGTTTCCAAACATCTAAAAAAAAGAAAAAACTATTATTGCATTACGTGTTAACAGGATGCTAAACCAGACGTAAAGCAAAAAGTACCTTCAGTCTTTACAAAAAGTCACTTGCGTTATTTAAGCCAGTTATATCTGAACTCTGTGACTAGATTAGTAAAGTTAAAGGAGTATGAGAAGAAACACCAGAAAGCATTATTATGTTTATTATTATTATGTACAATGACCCTTCGGGTAACAACATCAGACTGGAAAGCCAAAGATGGGTTAGGAATTGTGTGGCACACTGTGTTTTAGTTAGAATGTTCTTAGCTGTTAGTGATTGCTTTATTCCTGTCACATAGTAAAAATAACAAAACTGTTCAATCACATTTATTTTCTGAAACCATTCCAACCAGAAGTTACAGCAGATCACCTGCCACTGTATTTTTGGACACAGAGTAGGCAGAGCAGGAAAAAAATTTACACACAAAACCAATACCTGAAAGGAAAGATAATGGTCAATGGAATTACTCCTCGAAGGACTCCATGTAAAAATGCAGTTAATGCCAGTCAGAAAGTATTCCCCTGGGCTTTATAGCCAAAACTTACTAAGGTTTATTAAAAATGCAGAATCCATTCCCAAAGAATGTCAGGATTTAATTCCCACAAATAAGAACACAACTAAAAGTTTACGTTAATTTAGTTTACAAAGTAGTCACAGTCCTTACCATCAGTTTAACAAAATTATTTAAAAGGATCTGTTTTTTAATTATAGATTTCTAACAATTAGCATTTATTTGGCAAATTAATTAACCTCTTTCCTTCACATCTTTCATTTGTAAAATGGGGAGAAACCTTATACGTTTCTATAAGAATTAGAGTATGCAAAAAGGATAGAGTGCCTAGTATGTAATAAGCAATCAATCAATAATAATAATCATCAACAATAAAATATCAGTTTATTTGTCAAGAGGAAAAGAATGGAAAAGTCATATTGAACCTCTCCTTATTTTCTTGCTTTTATGACCTCTAGAAATGACCTGGAAATACTGAAAATCAGTGGGTCTCACTCAACTCAGCTCTTGGAGGAGTGTCAGTCTCCTCTTTCAAGGCTACGAGGACAGCCGGAGAACCTGTGCCTGGAAGTGGTAACGACCACACACATCTATCCTCAGTAACTGGTTTTACGGGGCCCAGATTGGAGCAAGCTACGTGGTATCTTCCTAAGAAGCAGAGCAGGATTTAGGGCTCCCTCTTAGATTCAATGCCCTAGAGAGAGCTGCAGAAACACATTCACATGGTCTTTTTCTTTTTTTTTTTTTGATAAAATTGGCAAAAGTAATGTATTTCAACCACAGTCAGTCAGTTAAGACTGCTCTCTCTTTCCATTCTGACTTCCCCCTGAGTTAGGTGGTGATGAAACGAGTGGCAGGGGGCATTTTGGGGATCTGGCTAAAGAGAAGTTGAGTTGGGCTTATCACATTGGCTTGGGTTAAGTGGGACCTATTTATGTCACTCACAGTCACTTTCATTTAAATTAGTATTTCTCGTTGTAGGTTTTTTCCCTTAAAGAGGGCCTGCCAAAATGTTTGAGGTTTAGACTACTAAACCTGGATCTGCCCCTGCTCAGAAGAGACGGACATTCAAAACACTTTATATCACAATCTATCTGTTTTCTGGATCATTTCTTCTAACTGAATTTGTTACCTAATTACCTAATAAAGCCAAACTTATATTTTGAATTAAAAAGGATGATTCATTATTCATTTGTACACTCAACAAATAGTAATTGAGCATTTATTATTTGCCAAGTACCATTCCAGGCCTTGGGGATAAAGCAGTGATAAGATAAAGTTCTTGATCTCATGGAACTTACACATAGTAGAGGCGACAGATAATAAATAAATAAACCTAAAAATATATACTTTCCGGTAGCTATTAGTGCTATGAGGAAAAATAAATGTAAGTAAGGGGTCAGGAAGTGATGGAAAATGAGGGATATGGCATTTTACTGGAGCAGGCTAGAAAGGAGTACTTGAGCCAGTGACATTTCAGCAGACATGGATGAACAAGGAGTCAGTCATACGACCATGTGAGAGAAAAGCATCCAGGCAGCAAAGCAGCAAGTGCAGAGGCGCTAAAACAGGAACAAACTGGTCTGTTCAAGGAACAAGAAAATGAGTTTGGCTGGAGCAGAGGAATAAAAAGGAGGGTGGTAGGAAACACAGTTCAAGAGGTAGATGGAATGAGACCATAGTGGGATTTTTTTAATACTATGCGAAGAAACCCCTGGATGATTTTGATCATAGATATATGATCAAGTTCTCATTTTTAAAAGATCACTCAGGCTGTTGTGTAGAGAACAGACAGCAGGAGGGGAAGAACAGAAGCAGGAGCTGCAGGGAGGCAGTTCCTACGGTCCCGGAAAAAGACGGTGATGATTTGGACTGTGTGGATGAGGGGAGAAGAGGAAGCATTCAGGAGATGTGTGACATTAGAATGAATGTGACCGCATATGGACCGTGAGAGAAGTGCAATCAAGGATGATTCCCAGACTTTTGCCTGAGCAGTTGGGTAAAAGGTGTTTCATTTATTAATATAGGGAGATTGGAAGGGAAATGGGTTTGCAGAAGACATAAAAAAATTCTGTTCAGTTATATTAAGTTTGAGATTCCTATGGGACTTATAAGCGAAGAAGGTATGTAGTTACTTGAACCTGAGGAGAGACTGGCAGAGATGTAAATTTGGGAGTTTTCAGTATACAGGCAGTACTTAAGCCATGGGAAGGATGAGTTTACCCTGTGTACAGATAAAGAAGATGGCATAGCACTGAGCCCTAGGCCTCTACTCCATTCAGGGCAGTGGTTCTCAAGTAGGGGTGATTTTGCCTCCCCCAGGGGACATTTGGCTGGGTCTGGAGACATTTTTGGTTGTCATATCTGAGGGGGTGCATGCATATGTGCTACTGGTATCTACTCGATAGAGGCTAGGCATGTTGCTCAATATCCTACAATTCCTAAGATGAACCCCCACAACAAAAAATTATCTGGCTCAAAATGTCATAAGTGCAGAGGTTGAGAAACCCTGATTCTGAGGGTGAGAAGAGTGAAAAGGGACAGTCGGTAAGGAAGCCAAAGTAAGTTACAGAAGCCAAGAGAAGACAATGTGGGAGGCAGAAAGGCTTTACAAACTGTGCCCAATGGTCAAGTGCATAAGGGCTAAGACACACTCTTGGATTTAGCAATGTAGAGGCGGCTGGTGACCATGATAAGAAACCACTGGATGATTTTGATCATAGATATATGATCAAGAATATGGTTTTGATTTGACTGCTGGGGGCAAAAGCCCCACAGGAGTATATTCAAGGGGGAAGAGGACGCAAGGAAGTACAAATAGCGAAAAAGCGATAACTTCGTCAAATTTTGTTCTAAAGATACACAGCAAAATGTAGCCAGAGCAGTCTGTGGGTCAAAGAACTGTGGTTTTTATTAGAAGATGGGAGATATTAAAGCATGTCTGTATAGTGATTGGTTTGATCCAACAGAAGGTGACAGACTGATGATGAAGAAAAGAGAGGATAATTGCAGGAGCAAAGTCCTAGGTTAGGCAAGAGAGGGCTGAAGAATAAAAAAAAGATAAAAACTTTTTCCGTAACAGGTTTAACTTAACTATGCATCGATTTATAAAAGAATTATCTTCCTTAGAGTTAATCAGTTGTTCAATTCTCCAGTACAAACTCTCTTTCTTATAGATTTTAAACATCTGACCAATTGTTAGGTGCTATTGTAAGGAGCAAGGTGTATTTTTCTGTTCTCCTCTAACGTATACTATATTTCATTTTCTATTAATTGCCTGGAATATTACTGGTGCTTTAAATATTTGTCTCATGAATAACTGTACCAGGAAATTCTATCATGAACTAGATAATCAAAGATACTGTAATCACATAACCTCTTCTTAAAAGAAATCTCTATCTACTTAGAGGAATGAAATTGCATATGTGTTCCTGAATGACGTGATTGGTAATTACAGTGGTTAAATCATTTCAATTAAAATAAAGGATACTGCATTCTCTGTGGAATACAGATACAACATAGCATATTTCTAGTCTCATCACAAAGTTCTTACCACTTAATGGTTAGGTTTTAATAGCTGATGACATGTATAGCATGAAAGAGAATTTAATTAAGGACAGGAAACAAGGGGAGAAATCGTTAAAATTCCAAGAAAAAAATAGTAGTAAACACTACAAAAAGGTTTATTTTTCTCTTTCTCTCAAAATTACCACCTGAAATTTCATCTCCTCAGTCTATCCTGTGGTTGCTAAGTATTTCCCCCACAACTAATCTGGCAAATGTTCCAGACCAAGAAGGCTTGATGATGGGGTGAAGAATTACTTTTTCTTCCTTAATCCTTTCTTTCTCATTTAATTTTTGACACGGTGGAATAGTGTATAATATATATTTCAGAATAGTACTGAGTCTCACAATTACAACACCTCTACTGGAGAAGTCTAATGAGAATTAGAATACTCTAATAGTTTTTCCCTTTTTCTCCCAAGTGTCTACTTTTTGAATTTCAATTATTTCAGTTTTTCAAATTAGATATAATTTCATAAAGAGAAAAAAAAACATTAACGGTAGACATTTCTCTTTGAGTTCCCGTAAACTTCAGTAAAACAAAAACAAAATGAACAAACAAATTAAAAAAAAACCCTTGTTTGGGTGGGCTCTCATTTTTAAACAGCAGTTATCTAGTTTGTCATTTTCTTATCAAATCACTGAGAATGAGTGGAATATATATTACTGTTTGAGTTCCTGAGTTAACTAAGGATTCTTTTTTTCTTTATCCTCTTTTTCTTCTGGAGACTTCAGTTGAAATCACTTGAGTAGCAGAATGTCATGGAACTTTGGGATGGGAACTCAGCTACCTCTGAAACTATTCTCCCGATGTTTTCCTCCCTACATCACCTTAGTGTTCCACTCTCACCATGTGACTATAATTTCTACCTTTCTGTTTCCTTTATTATGATG